GCAGGAAATGTTATTCACATATATGTCAGCTTTCAAACAGCTCTGAGATAAGTAAATAATCTAACTAGAGAATCAGTTAAAGTTAAATCTGGTGCTTGCATTTCTCCTTTGAAGATGGTCATTTTGTTTCCTAAAAGTTTTTTATTATTCTGTTTGCCCAAAACATTTCCAAATCAGGTCAACGTGGTCCGTCCACCAGGCTCAGCACCCAGTTGCCTGGTGAGGGGAGCAGCGTGCAGTGCTGGGGTTGTGCTCCTCTTCCCTCCACTGGGCTCAGCTCTGTGTTGGTCCCAGGCAGCAGCCTCCTGCCCACACCCCCAGGAGGGCTCTGTGAGACTCCTCTGGGGGTGCAGGCCCCTGATCTGCCTGTGATCACACAAAGCTGCTCCTCTTCCAGTTTTGTGCTTCCCCATTATAGCCTATGGGCAAAAAATTGAATCATCAAAACTTGTTTCAACAAAACAAAATGAAAGTGTTTTTGAGACAAAACTGAACTTGAAACGAAACTGTTCTGTTCAAACAAAAGTCTAAGCGAAATGGTGCTGTTTCGCACAGCTCTAGTAATCACCATGTTTCTGGGGTCAGTGCCTTCAAGCTGTAACAAGGGATTTGTTGTACTTTGCTTTGACACCAGGGATTCCTCTTTAAAAACCTCTCCATTTACTTTTCAAATCCTGTGCAGGGATCTGCACACCTACAAGTGATGATATGTGCAGCACCCCTAAAAGCATCTCACAGAACCTCAGTGTCCCCTTCCCCTGGGGCACTTACCTTTCAGCGCCAGTGCCATCCCCAGCGCCAGGACAGCTGCCAGCAGGAGCAGGGCCAGAGCTCTCCACAGCCAGAGGCTGGAGCACGGGCCTGAACCAGAGCAGAGCGGGGGGTTAGCGGGATGTGGCAGGAGCCCGGCAGCGCCGGGGAGGGCGGTGCTGGGGCAGCAGGGGAAGCCTCCGGGGCATGTGCAGGGAGCCCCCTCCCTCCAGTCCCGGTAGGTCCCGCTCCCCGCCCCGGGCCGCTGCTCCCCCGCAGGGCCCCGGCAGCAGCAGCGGCAGGCTGGGCTGCGGCTCAGGGGCGGTGCTACCCCGTGGGGGAGCCGACGGCGGCTGCGCGCAACTCTGCAACATCCCTCCAGTACCCATGGCCAGGCCCAACTGACAGCTCGCCCAGCTAGATTTAAACCATTTTAAACTACGCGCCAGGGAGGCTCCCATTGGTGGAGGAGGAGCCGCAGGAGAGGTGGTGCTCCGCGGGGCGGGGCAAGGAGCCCTGGTGCTTCACCCTCGCCTTCGCCTTCGCCTGCGCCGTCCCGCCCCGCCCGCCCAGCTCTGCTGTATGCCTCGACGCGGCCGGGCAACCCGGGATCAAACCATATCTTACCAATAACGGCGCTCCGAACACCTCCCCGACCAATCAGTTTAAAAACTGCAGCTGTCCTCCCGGCCAATCAGGCGTAGCCAAGCGAAAGCGCCGCCTACACGATGCTTCCGGGCGCTCTGCCCCTAGTGTGAATCATGGTAGGTCCCTCTTTTTGTCCTCCTTTCCCCTCTCCTCTTTTTTTCTTGTTTCTTCTCTTTTTCTTCACTTCTTTCCCCTAATTATCTCCCCCCCCCCCTTTTCCTTCCCCCTCCCTTCTTTTTTTTTTTTTCTTTT